CCACGACGCGTCCAAAGGCGGCATAGCCGTCATAGCCCGGCCGCGTCCATGCCCGGCGTCGGCCCCACGGTGATGAAGAAATTGCCCCGGCGGAGTTGGGCGATTGCCCGCGCGCCATCGAGATGGTGCCGTCGAGATGCTTGATCCCGGTCTTGGCGGTCGTCTCCAGCGGGAAGGGGAGGCAGGATGCGGCGCGCATCGGTGCGGATGCCGCCTCGACGAAGCCTCTTTCGTTCCGCTTGTCGCGGGCCGCACGGTAGAAGACCGTCCCGTCGAACCGCCCGTCATCGACATAGGCGAGGGAAATTCCGGGTCGTCGCAGGCGCATGGCGCGTCGAGCGCGACGACGATCGGGCCTTCCGAAGTATTTATCTGCACCCGACACAGCCGGGGCGGGGACATTCTGGTTCGCTGGTGCAGCGGCGGTGAGCAGGGCGAGAGCAGCGGAGCAGGCGTTTCATCCGGCGGCAATTATCGCCCCTGCGGATTGTGGAGCCCAAAGCCATCGGATGCGCCGAGTGGCGGCACCGATCAGGCGGCCGATCGTGCGTGAAGAACTGATTATGCGGGCTCGGCTGGTAATCGCCAAAGGCGTCGCAAGACGGAAGCCCGCGCTGCGATAGAGCGCGACGGCGGGCTGGCCATGGCGACGTGGTTCCCGTTTCCGTGCTGATCCGATCATAATTGCGGCGCTGCGCCTCCGCGATGACATGGTTGAGCAGCGCACGGCCTATACCCCGGCCCAGAAAGCCGGGCGCGACCCGCATGGATTTCACTTCGCCATGCCGGGCGTCCAGTTGCTTCAGCGCGGCGAAACTGGCCAGCGCTGGGCCGTCCCAGATCGTCCAGAAGGAAATGCGGATCGGCCAGCGCGGAGGCGTCGAGCGCGAAGGAAAACTCTTCCGCCTCGCCGCGCATATCGCGCAGGTGATAGGCGAGCAGATCGGCGACATGCGGCGCGGTCGGATCGTCGAGGCGAATATCCATGTCAGTCCCTTTGGGTCTGGCGTGCGAGATGGTTGATGACGGGCCAGTCTATCGCGGTCCGCATGGATGCGACAGACAATGGCTCACAAAAAAGCCGCCGACCGGGTGGTCGACGGCTTCTCCGTTTCGTCGCGCCCGACCTTACTGGTCGAGGAAGCTGCGCATCTTGCGGCTGCGGCTGGGGTGCTTCAGCTTGCGCAAAGCCTTGGCCTCGATCTGGCGGATGCGTTCGCGGGTGACCGAGAACTGCTGCCCGACCTCTTCCAGCGTGTGGTCGGTGTTCATGCCGATGCCGAAGCGCATGCGCAGCACGCGCCCTCGCGCGGGGTCAGCTGGCCGTGACGCGAGTGACCGTTTCTTTCAGGTTCGCTCGGATCGCCGCGTCCACCGGGATGACCGCGTTCTTGTCTTCGATGAAGTCGCCGAGGTGCGAATCCTCCTCGTCGCCGATCGGCGTTTCGAGGCTGATCGGCTCTTTGGCGATCTTCATCACCTTGCGCACCTTCTCCAGCGGCATGGAGAGGCGTTCGGCCATTTCCTCCGGGGTCGGCTCGCGGCCCCTGCTCGTGCAGGAACTGGCGGCTGGTGCGGACCAGCTTGTTGATCGTCTCGATCATATGGACCGGGATGCGAATGGTCCGCGCCCGGTCCGCGATCGAGCGGGTGATCGCCTGACGAATCCACCGTGTCGCATAGGTCGAGAACTTGTAGCCGCGACGATATTCGAACTTATCGACCGCCTTCATCAGACCGATATTGCCCTCCGGATAAGGTCCAGGAACTGCAGGCCGCGATTGGTGTATTTCTTGGCGATGGAGATAACGAGGCGCAGGTTCGCCTCGACCATTTCTTCTTGGCGATCCGCGCCTCGCGCTCGCCCTTCTGCACCATGTTCACGATGCGGCGGAATTCGGTCAGCGCCATGCCGGTCTGCTGCGAAATCTCGGCGATCTCGCTGCGGATGCGGTCGACGGTGGCGGCTTCTGTTGCTGGCGAAATTGCCCCCACTCTGTCGAGCCCGCGCACCGTGTCGGAGCCAGTTTTCGTCCAGCCATGACCCAGATAGCGGTCGAGGAAGTCCTTGCGGTTGACCTTGTGCCGCTCGGCCAGACGCAGCATCTGACCGCCCAGCGCGGTCAGACGGCGGTTGAAGGCGTAAAGCTGGTCAACCAGAACTCGATCTTGGCATTGTGGAACTGAACGCTTTCGACCTCGGCGGTCAGTTCCTCGCGCAGCTTGTGGTACTTTGCGCTCGTCCGCGGCCGACAGTTCGCCGCCCAGCGCCATCGACCCGGTGCGCTGCTGCTGAATCTTCGAGAATTTCTTGTAGATGCTCGTGATGTTGGCGAACTTCTCCAGCGCCTGCGGCTTGAGAGTCTCTTCCATCTGGGCGAGCGAGAGGGTGTTGTCCTCTTCTCGTCCTCGGCGCGCGGACCACGCCGCTCGCCGCCCTCGCCATCCTCGTCATCGACCGAGGGTTCCTCCGGCCTTCTTCTTCCTTGAACTGCGGGCCGGCGTTCTTGGCGCTGATCTCGCCATTGTCGTCGTCTTCGTCCTCGCCCAGATTTTCCGGGCCGGCGTCCTGATTAACATGGCGTCGAGATCGAGGATCTCGCGCAGCTGCATCGTGCCTTCGTTCAGCGCGGTCGACCAGTCGATGATCGCGTTGAAGGTGATCGGGCTTTCGCACAGCCCCAGATCATCGTGTCGCGACCTGCCTCGATCCGCTTGGCGATGGCGATTTCGCCCTCGCGCGACAGCAGTTCGACCGCGCCCATCTCGCGCAGGTACATGCGGACCGGATCGTCGGTGCGATCGACGGTTTCCTTCTTCTGGCCTCCGGCTGAGGCCCGAATCGCTGTCGCCATCGACGCTGTCGGCGGCGTCGTCGGCTTCCTCTTCGCCTTCGCCGTCCTCGCCCTGTTCCTCATTCTCGACGATGTTGACGCCCATCTCGTTGAGGGCGGCCATGATATCCTCGAGCTGGTCCGAGGACATCTGGTCCTGCGGCAGCGCTTCGTTCAGTTGGTCGTACGTGATGTAGCCGCGCTTCTTGGCGCGGGCGATCAGTTTCTTTGATCGACGCCTCGTTCAGGTCGATCAGCGGGCGCATCGCCTGTCTCCGTCGTGTCGGTCGTATCCGCCGCCATATTCGCCTTCGCCATCAAATGCCCTCAGGGTTCAAATGCCCGGCCTCTGTCACGCACGCCGCCGGTTTGGCAAGCGGGTGGGAGCCATGCATAATTTTCCAGTGTGGACGCGTCCTGCCCAATATGCCCCGGATATGGGGCGGAGAGGTTGTCGTATCAAGCGGCCTCCCAACTTGCCGATCGGCTGTGTCGCGGGCGGCTTCCAGCCAGCGATAGAGCTGATCGAGCGATTGCGCATGCGCGGCGTGGCACCGCGTCTGCTCGGCGAAGCGATCCTCGGTCATGTCGGCTCGAACGCCTCCACCGCGCGCGCGCGGTTCGCGCGGGTCTCGCTTTCCTCCAGCATCACCGATGACCTTTTTCCAGATCGCGCACGGCGATGGCGGGATCGCCCATCTTGCTGAAGAAGCTGAAGGCGAGGTCGCGGGTATAATCGCGCGCGTCGATCGGGTGAACGTCGGTGGTCGCCATGATCTGTTCGATCAGGCTCTTCGCCTCTGCCGCGTCTTTCCGCGACAGATGGGGATCGTTGACCGCCGCGTCGAGCAGATGATGCCGCCAGTCGTTGAGATAGCGGTCGCCCATGTCCAACCGACTGAGCTCGTCCATATAGCGGCACAGGACATGCGGATAGCGCATCAGCCTGAGCAGCACGGCGCGCTTGAGGCTGTATTCGACGCCGCGCCTGACATGGCGATTGGCCCGGCCACCGCCTGATGCACCGCCGCCGCATTGACGCGGCGGATGCCGAAGATGTCGAAATAGCGCGACATCATCGCGCGCTTATATTCGTAGGCCAGATCCTTGTGCGGATCTGCTGCGCCAGTTCCTCCAGCCGCTGTTTCCAGCGGCGCGGCCCCTCGGGCGTGTCGGTCTGTGCCTGCGCGATCTCCGACCGCCAGAGCAGATCGCTGAGCGGCGTGGCGCGGGTGAGCACTGACTGAACCCGGCCGCGCCTTTTTTCTTGCACCAGATCGTCGGGGTCCTGACCTTGCGGCAGGGTGACGAAGGACAGGCTTTGCCCGGCTGGAGCAAGGGCAACGCACGGTGCGCGGCGCGATCGCGGCCTTCTGTCCCGCCGCATCGCCGTCGAAGCAGAGCGTCGGCATCGACCATCCGCCACAGCCGTTCCAGCTGATGCTCGGTCAGCGCAGTGCCGAGCGGGGCGACAGCTTCCTCGATCCCGGCCCGGCGAGGGCGATCACGTCCATATAGCCTTCGACCACCAGCACGCGGCCGCTCTTGCGCACGGCGGCGGCTGCGCGGTCGAGATTGTAGAGTGTACGCCCCTTGTCGAAGAGCGGTGTCGGGCGAGTTGAGATATTTCGGCTCGCCCTCGCCGATGATCCGGCTGCCGAACGCGATCACCTGGCCGCGCGCATCGCGGATCGGGATCATCAACCGACCACGGAACCGGTCAGCAGCGGGTCCTGCCGTCGACCTTGATGAGCAGACCTCGATCAGCGCCGGATCGCCATAGTCGGCCAGCGCGGCTTCAGCTTGCCCCTGACTGTCGGGCGCAAAGCCCAGACCGAAGGCGCGCCGTCTCCGGGTGACTCGGCGGCGTTCGAGCAGCGCACGAGCGTCGCCACCCGACAGGCCGCCCAGTTGCTCGGAAAACCAGCTGGCCGCATCGGCTATCGCATCGTGCAGGCCCTTGGCGCGCTCGGCTTTCTGCGCGGCACGGCGGTCCTGCGCCGGCATCTTCCAGCCCGGCGACCTGCGCCAGTTCCTGACCGCGTCGATGAAGGGGCAAGCCGCGCTGATCCGTCATCCAGCGAATGGCATCGCCATGGGCCGAGCAGCCGAAGCAGTGATAGAAGCCCTTGTCGTCGCTGACGTAAAGCTGGGCGTCTTTTCGTTATGGAAAGGCAGCAGCCCCTATATTCGCGGCCCGCTTTTTGCAGCTTCACCGTCTTGCCGATCAGCGCCGACAGACTGGTGCGAGCCCGAAGCTCGTCAAGCGAATTGCGGGTCAGGCCTCATGGCGTCCGCGCGATTATAAGTGGTATAAAACGGCGTCGTTTATGCAAGCAAAATGGGGCGGTGGGGAGGGGTGCCGACCTGCCCCCCGACCGACAATTAGGCCAGCGACGCCTTCACCAGCCCGCTCGCCTTTGCTCATGTCCAGCACCGCCGCATGGCGTGCCTTCAACTCGGCCATCACCCGGCCCATGTCCTTCATGCCGGACGCGCCGATCTCCGCCTTTGATCGCCCCGATCGCGGCCTTGGTTTCGTCCTCGGTCAGCGTCTGCGGCAGGAAGCGCTCGATCACCGCGACTCGGCCTTTTCGGCGTCGGCCAGTTCCCGGCGGCCGCCCTGTTCGTACATCGCGATCGATCTGCGGCGCTGCTTGACCATCTTTTGCAGCACTTCGATCACGACCATGTCGTCATCGGCGGGCGTCGCCGGTGCGGGAGTTCAATGTCGCGGTTCTTGATAGCGGCCCGGATCAGGCTGATCGCCGCGCGGCTTTCCTTGTCGCCCGCTTTCATGGCGGCCACCTGCGCGGCCTTGATGTCGTCGCGAATCGCGTTTTTTCCGTCTTGTCTGGAAAGGCGGGACGATAGCCGATGGAACCAATTCCGTGAACCGGTTGACGCGGCGGCCATCGGGTCTAGCGGACGCCACTTAGCGACATTGCAGACATTTTAAAGCAGGGAGTGCCCGCCGATCGCGGCTGACGCCAAGCCATTCGTCATGCCCGAAAAGCCCGAAGGCGCCACGGGCGTTCTCGTTCTGGCGAACGGAGACGTGTTGGGGCGCGGTTTCGGCGTCGAGGGTGATGCCGTGGGCGAGGTGTGTTTCCACACCGCGATGACCGGCTATCAGGAGATCGCGACCGACCCGTCCTTCGCGGGCCAGATCATTACCTTCACCTTCCCGCATATCGGCAATGTCGGCGCGAACCCCGACGATATCGAGGCGGACGCGCCGCATGCGCTGGGCATGATCGTCCGCGAGGATCCGACCGCCCCGTCCAACTTCCGCGCGATGGAGAACCTCGCCGGATGGATGGCACGGCACAACCGTATCGGCACGGCGGTATCGACACCCCGTGCGCTGACCCGCCGCATCCGCGCGGCCGGCGCGCCCAACGGCGTGATCGCGCATTCGGCCGCCGGTGAGTTCGATATCCCGCGCTGCTGGAGAAGGCGCGCGCGCCGGGCTGGAGGGCATGGACCGCGGCGAAGGACGTGTCGACCGAGCTGCATTATGGCTGGGGCGAGACGCGCGAGGGCGGCCTGTGGCGGCTGGGCTTCGGCCATGGGCGCGGAGGGCGCGGATCGCCCGCACGTCGTCGCGATCGATTATGGCAGCAAGCACAACATCTTCCGCAACCCGTGTCCGGGCCGGTGCGAAGGTGTCGGTGGTCCCCGCCACTGCCTCCCTACGAGGATGTGATGGCGCTGAACCCGACGGCATCTTCCTGTCCAACGGCCCCGGCGATCCTGCGGCGACTGGCGAATATACCGTACCGGTGATCCGCCAGCTGCTCGACACGGGCAAAGCCGCTGTTCGGCATCTGCTTTGGGCCACCAGCTTCTGGGTCTGGCGGTCGGCGCCAAGACCACCAAGATGCACCCGCAGGGCACCGCGGCGAACCACCCGGTCAAGCGCCTGTCCGACGGTCTGGTCGAGATCACCAGCATGAACCACGGCTTTGCGGTCGAGCGCGAGACGCTGCCTGCGAACGCGTGAGACGCATGTGTCGCTGTTCGACGGGTCGAATGCGGGTCTGAACTGACCGACCGACCGGCCTTCTCGGTCCAGTATCACCCCGAAGCCTCGCCGGGGCCGCAGGACAGCTTCTATCTGTTCGAGCGGTTCGTGGGGTCGCTGAAGGGATAACGACCCATGGTTCGCTTTCGCATCAAGGCAGAGCACGTCGAAGATGTCTTCGCGATGCTAGCAGATGTGAAGATCGAGCCGATCCACGTGCAGGATCGCGGCGACGGTGGAGTTGCTATCGAGATTGGCGAAATCTCGGATGAGCAAGGTCAAGCGATCGCCGCAGCGTTCCGGCCAGAAATGGTCGGCCATCATTGGAATAATCGGCGGGTTCCGCCGCTTGAGAGGCACACTAATGCCAAAACGCACCGACATCTCCTCCATCCTCGTCATCGGCGCTGGCCCGATCGTCATCGGTCAGGCGTGCGAGTTCGACTATTCGGGCACGCAGGCGATCAAGGCCCTGAAGGAAGAGGGCTATCGCATCGTCTTGGTCAATTCAGACCCGGCGACGATTATGACCGATCCGAGCTGGCCGACGCGACCTATGTCGAGCCGATCACGCCCGCTGTCGTCGCCAAGATCATCGAGAAGGAACGCCCTGACGCGGTCCTGCCGACCATGGGCGGACAGACCGCGCTGAACACCGCGCTGGCGCTGTTCCATGACGGCACGCTGGAAAAGTTCGGCGTCCAGATGATCGGCGCCGATGCCGAGGCGATCGACAAGGCCGAGGATCGGCAAAATTCCGTCTGGCGATGGACAAGATCGGGCTGGAATCGGCCCGCTCGGCGATCGCGCATACCGAGGCGGAGGCGCTGGCGGGGCTGAGAAGGTCGGCCTGCCTGCGATCATCCGTCCCAGCTTCACGCTGGGCGGCACCGGCGGCGGTGTGGCGTATAACCGCGAGGAGTTCATCGCGATCGTTCGCGCCAGGCTCGACGCTTCGCCGACGACCGAGGTGCTGATCGAGGAATCGCTCCTCGGTTGGAAGGAATATGAAATGGAGGTCGTGCGTGATCGCAACGACAATTCCATCATCATCTGCTCGATCGAGAATATCGATCCGATGGGCGTCCATACCGGCGACTCGATCACCGTCGCGCCCGCGCTGACTCTGACCGACAAGGAATATCAGATCATGCGCAACGCCAGCTGGCGGTGCTGCGGGAGATCGGCGTGGAGACGGGCGGCTCGAACGTGCAGTTCGCGGTCAATCCTAAGGACGGCCGCCTGATCGTCATCGAGATGAACCCGCGCGTGTCGCGTTCGTCGGCACTGGCGTCGAAGGCGACCGGCTTCCCCGATCGCCAAGGTCGCGGCCAAGCTGGCGGTCGGCTATACGCTGGACGAGATCGAGAACGACATCACCGGCGCGACCCGGCCTCGTTCGAGCCGACGATCGACTATGTCGTCACCAAGATCCCGCGCTTCGCCTTCGAGAAGTTCAAGGGCTCCAGGTTCCATCTCTCGACCGCGATGAAGTCGGTCGGTGAGGTGATGGCGATCGGCCGCAACATCCATGAATCGATGCGAAGGCGCTGCGTGGGCTGGAAACCGGCCTGAGCGGCTTCAACGATGTCGAGCATCTGGTGGCGCGCCGCGTGCCGAGATCGAGGCGGCGCTGGCCAAGGCGACCCCGGACCGGCTGCTGGTCGCCGCGCAGGCGCTGCGCGAAGGCTTCACCGTCGCCGAGGTCCATGCGATCGCCAAGTACGATCCCACGGTTCCCCGGAGCGGATCGCCGAGATCGTCGCGGCCGAGGCCGAGGTGATGCAGAACGGCCTGCCGCAGGATACGGCAGGCATGCGCCGCCTGAAGGCGATGGGCTTTTCCGACAAGCGGCTGGCCTATCTGGCGCTGCAATCGGCGAACCTGCGCGGCATGGATCGCGGCATCGCGCGCGGCTCGGGCCTGATCCACGAAGTCGTCAAGATGATGACCGGCGGCGTGACCGAGCAGGAGGTGCGCGAGCATCGCCAGAAGCTGGGCGTGCGTCCGGTCTTCAAGCGGATCGACACCTGCGCCGCCGAGTTCGACGCCAAGACGCCGTACATGTACTCGACCTATGAAGCGCCGACCTTCGGCGAGCCTGAGGACGAGGCGGTGAGCGACCGCAAGAAGATAGTCATCCCGGGCGGTGGTCCGAACCGGATCGGGCAGGGATCGAGTTCGACTATTGCTGCTGCCACGCCTGCTTCGCGCTGGCGGATGCGGGCTATGAGACGATCATGGTCAACTGCAACCCGGAAACGGTCAGCACCGACTATGACACCTCGGATCGCCTGTATTTCGAGCCGCTGACCGCCGAGGACGTTCTCGCCATTCTCGACGTCGAGAAGTCGAAGGGCGAACTGGTCGGCGCGATCGTGCAGTTCGGTGGCCAGACCCCGCTGAACCTCGCCCGCGCGCTTGAAGCCGCTGGCATCCCGATCCTCGGCACCAGCCCCGACGCGATCGACCTCGCCGAGGATCGTGAGCAGTTCGCCGCTTTGGTCGACAAGCCAAGGGCTGCTTCAGCCCAAGAACGGCATCGCGCGCAGCCGCGAGGAAGCGCTGATCGTCGCCGAGCGCGTCGGCTATCCGGTGCTGATGCGCCCCAGCTTCGTGCTGGGTGGTCGCGCCATGGAGATCGTCGACGGCCCGCAGCAGCTCGAGGATTATATCCAGACGGCGGTGCAGGTGTCGGGCGATGCGCCGGTGCTGATCGACCAGTATCTGCGTGACGCGATCGAGGTGGACGTGGACGCGATCTGCGACGGCGACCCGTGTCGTCGTGGCGGGTGTGCTCCAGCATATCGAGGAAGCGGGCGTCCATTCGGGCGACTCCGGCCTGCTCGCTGCCGCCCTACAGCCTGCCCGAGGAGATCATCGCCGAGATCGGCGTCAGGCCGAAGCGCTGGCGCGCGGCCTGAACGTGCGCGGCCTGATGAACATCCAGTTCGCGGTGAAGGACGGTCAGGTCTATCTCATCGAGGTCAACCCGCGCGCCAGCCGCACCGTGCCCTTCGTCGCCAAAGGCGATCGGCACGCCCATCGCCAAGATCGCCGCGCGCGCCGGCGGCGGGCAAACTGGCCGACCTGCCGCCAATCGATCGTCACATCGATTATTATGCGGTCAAGGAAGCGGTCTTCCCTTCGCGCGCTTCCCCGGCGTCGATCCGGTGCTTTCGCCGGAGATGAAGTCGACGGGCGAGGTCATGGGCATCGACCCCGACTTCACCACTGCCTTTTGCGAAGTCGCAGCTCGGCGCGGGCACCGTCCTGCCGACGGAAGGCGCGGTGTTCATCAGCGTGAAGGACAGCGACAAGCCGCATATCGTCCCCGCGGCCAAGCTGCTGGCGGAGGCGGGCTTCGCGATCGTCGCGACCGGTGGCACCGCCGATTATCTCGATCGCGCGGGCGTCACGGTTGAGAAGATCAACAAGGTGGCGCAGGGGCGTCCGCATATCGTTGACCGGATCAAGGACGGCGGCATTACCCTGATCTTCAACACGACCGAGGATGGCAGAGCCTGAAGGGGGACTCCAAGCCGATCCGTCAGGCGGCGCTGGGGCAGAAGATTCCCTACTTCACCACAGCGCCCGCCAGCGTCGAAGCGGCGAAGGCGATTGCGACCGCAGG